CTAAAATACTGGCCTCGATAATTATCAAACGCCTAACTAAGACTCGTGAACTACAATCACGAGAGAACCAAGCTGGCTTTAGACCTGGTCGTGGCTACATCGACCACATATTCACCATTCGTCAGGTTCTAGAACACAGGCATACCTATCGGCGTCCGACGATGGTGGTCTTTCTCGACTTAAAAGCAGCATTTGACTCGGTAGACCGCGAGATTCTGTGTCAGTGTCTGTCATTGAAAGGCGTACCCCAGAAGTAAATAAACCTTGTAAAGGCTCTTTACTCGAACACTACTAGTCGAGTCAGAGCTTATGGCGAACTGTCATCTACTTTTGCAACCTCAAGTGGTGTCCGTCAAGGCTGTCCACTTTCCCCATTTTTGTTTAACTTCATCATAGATCTACTGATGGAAATAACTTTCTCGTCGACTGAGTTCTCGGGTATTGATCTCCTACCAGGAGGTCCACTTATCGACTTAGAATACGCAGATGACATAGTCCTGTTTGGTGAGGACGCTGACAAAATGCAGAGTCTTCTGGTAGCACTGAGCAACAATGCCAGGATGTTTGGAATGCGCTTCTCTCCCTCCAAATGCAAGTTGTTGCTTCAGGACTGGTCTGCGTCAACACCTGAACTAAGGATAGGGAGTGAAGTAGTCGAACGCGTTGACAACTTCACTTATCTTGGAAGTCTGATCAGCCCTAATGGGTTGGTATCGGACGAAATCTCAGCACGGATTCGAAAAGCTCGCTTGGCTTTTGCCAACTTGCGTCACCTTTGGCGAAGGTGAGATATCCGTCTACCAATAAAAGGACGGGTATACTGCGCGGCAGTCCGTTCTGTTTTACTTTACGGCAGCGAAACATGGCCACTAAGAGTAGAAGACACTCGTAAGCTATTAGTATTTGACCACAGATGCCTTAGAAATATTGCTGGCGTCTGCTGGGATCACCGGGTAAGTAATAGTGAGGTTAGACGCAGGGTATTAGGGAATGATGGTAAATCAGTTGATGAGGTTATGAATCTTCATCGACTGAGATGGTTGGGCCACGTATTACGTATTCCTGAACACCGATTACCACGACGTGCAATGCTAACCGGTGTAGGGGATGGTTGGAAGAAAGTTAGGGGCGGCCAAACCAAAACGTGGCATCATTGCTTGAAGTCACTAACTTCTAGTCTGAGCCATGTTGGTAGATGTAGACTACTTGGTCGGGGTCCGCGTGACTATCGTAACCAATGGTTGGAGACTCTTGGTGACATGGCTCAGAATCGATCACAGTGGCGTCGGTGTATACACTCTCTGTCTTCCCTTAAACTAAGACGTTAAAATCACTACATATCTTTCTTTCTACGAACCAATTCTTTCTTCTTGTACTATATCTCTATATGCAATCTTTCTCTTACATGCTATGAATCCGGTGTTCATCCTGTTGTGCTGATGCGGTATGGCAACCTGGACCGATGCACATATGTGCCTGGTCCTAAGATGTAGCTGACTGACTGACTAAATAACACTAGTCAACTTGAATATTTTACTGAAATATTCAAGTTAACATTGTCTAATAATAACTAGATCTCTTTGAAGAATTACACCATAATGTAAATGTATCACGTGAAGTGAATGTAGTATGGAATTATTTTTTTCTGAACTTACAAAGTTTATAAATACACAATAAGAATGGAGTTTAATTAAATGGAAGAAAAAAACAACTGATAATATTACATATGATTATGCAGTTATAATCATCATTAATTGTGACTTCATTGTAGTGTTCTAAAGTAAACTGTATTGAGAATGTTTATTGAAGTTTAATACATTCAGTTAGTTAGTTAGTGATCAATGTAATACTACTCCTAGTAAAGCATATATAGTTCACATCTGCTAGAATCACGTGTCGCGTATGCCTGAACACCGATTACCACGACTCGCAATGCTAACTGACTAGTGTGGGTGATGGCTGGAATAAAGTCAGGGGGCGGCTCAAACAAAACATGGCATCAGTCATTGGAATCACTCAGTTCTGGTCTGAGCCATGTTCGTAGATGCAGACTACTCGGTTGGGGTCCGCGTGACTATTGTAACCATTGGTTGCGGACTCTGAGTGCCATGACTCAGGATCGATCTTAATGGTGTAGGTATGGCAACTTGGAACGATGTATACATGTGCCTGATCCTACGTTGTAGCTGACTAACTAAAGTAGTGGTTTATGATAACTAAATTAGGGATCAACTACTTTCAGTTGTTAAATGAATTCACAAAATTCAGTGTTCAGCTAAATATGAGATGCGTATATAATATATGTAGGCATTAGGTCATAAAATTATCGACTGTTGGCTACAGCTATGTTAATAAATGAAGACTTCTTAGTTGAGGTTCGCGCGATCAGTAGTTAGAGTCGTTAGATAATGTAGCTCAGAACTTAGTAACGATTGTTTGTTAAATCTCGAGTTCTAGTACTATCCCATACATAAATAATCACTCCGTCTTCTCAATATGTAGCCTTTCTCAACTACGTCCCCTTTGATAGATAGCAGCAGTAGTTAAGAGGAAGTATGGACTATGTTAACTGCTATGTTGTCAGGCATTAATGAAGATAGATTATTAAGATCACGAACCAATATAGGTTAGAAAACCATTGACAACCTGGAACAATTGAATAGCTGTTTCGTCCTAGTATGTGAAACTACTGTCCCTAGTCCTACAGGTAACAAATTGTGATCCGAATAGCTCAGTAGTAACGTATTTGACTGTGAATCTGGGTGACACAGGACTGAATCCGTCAAGAAGCATTACACCCCTGAATTACATGTTGCTAACGAGTGCCAAATATTTCAAAAGCTACGTGGAACACTGCTTCCTGCCATCTACCTAGAACCAGCACCTCAGTATAGTGCATGAAATGCGGAGTCACTCAAATTTGTTATCACACTGAAACTTGATTATCATCAAAGAACTAAACAAACATGATACTGTCCAATAATCACTCAACTGTATATTAAATTTAGTGTGAAGATTACTGACAGAGCAAGTTGTATTTGGTAAGACAACTAACGGGAACGAAGAGTTACTGAATAGATATTCCGTTCTAATTTGAGAACGTAAGGAGATGCAGTGCCATGGTAACCGGTGACCAATAATTAGTTCATACTCCATTTGTTTCCTTAGAATACTGAAGCCCATGTACACCATTGGTTTAGAATCGTGAATGTGAAGTGTATGAAACGCTTAATCTTGTGATCTTGACCTTACACCAGATATGCAATGTACCCTACTATTAGATTATATCATAACATCTTGCAATCTGTACTAATAGACTTCCTGACGGATTCGATCCCGTGTCACCCAGCTTCACAGTCAGACACGTGACCACTGAGCTATCCGGGCCGCGGTCGACTCACCTAGACTGGTGGCCGCATTGCAACTCGATTGATAGCATTCTATATGCACTAATAAGGACTTGACACACATGACATTGATCACCACACAGTGATCAATCAATTGTGACAATCGAATGTATTCGATCTGAGAACCATACAGTAAATACTTCATTTGCAAAACATCAATCAGTCGTCTCAGACTTCTTTGTTTTCGTTCTCTTTTCTCTGAACTTGTTAACCTTGTACCTCCAGGCATTTCAATTTCGATTGATGATACATATTACTGATATCTGTCGATATCAGTAGCACACAACACAGTAGTACATGCTATTTTCAATAATCACCTAATTGTAATAAAAATATCAAAATAATTCAGGAAAGCGTTTCACATGATGCTAATTCCCTCTATCCTCAATGGGAAAGAAGACTTGAATATTCAACCAAGCTGGACTGTTTTTCCAGACAACCACATTGAACTTTATTTTTTTCATATTTTTACACACGCACACACGAAACTTCAACTCACCACTACTTCATATCACAAATGCGTACAATTTTCATACCCACAATGTGACACACAGACTAATCCAGCGACAGGGTCACACAAATTCACCTTGACCAAAATTACTTGACATAGACATATTCAGACCTATTGTGATTTTGATTGTACTAAAAATATTTTGCATTGTTTTCTTTGTACTATTTAAATTTGTGTTAATTTAATGTTTGGTTACTTATTTACTCTGAAGAAATGGCTTAAAAAATAAGTCGCGAAACATCAGAAATACAATATTCCTACCCATTGCTCTAATTGTTTGAAACTATGACGTTGATTTATGTCTTGCATTGAATGTGAGTGCCAAGTAAATGATATTCGGAAAATTAGAACTGGTTCTGTGCGATGAAACAAACGCGACGCTCACAAGATATCTCAGAAAAGCGTTTGGTGATCTAGCTTGTAGGACGGTGGACATGAAATTCGGAAGCCAGTAAAATGTGTGTAACAACTCACATGTCGAATTGAACAGTTTTATAGCACTTAAGCGTTAGCACATACTGGGCCGTAGTCGTTAGCCGGATCTATGCTGTGTAAGGTCAAGCTGCGCTTAGTTTCAAGATACTGTATCGGCAAAAACGACAATAAAAATCTCTGCGGTATGGTTAACCATTATATGGTACTATTTAAAATCACAGTTTCTTCACAAAATATTAAATTCATGCATTAAATACATCATCTGCGTATCTTCCTTGGGTTGTCCTTTACATGCTCCATCGTTTTTTCACTCCTGTTTGTATTCCGATTGCTTTCTGTTTTCCTACCTCTTGTCTTCATTTCAAACTTCTTTTGGTGAGCACTCCAATTCCTGCTACTTATGTCTGTCCACATACGTAGCGAACATCACAGAAGTACCAAATATTCAAGTGAAAACCTTGAACAGTAGTTGAATATGATTTAGGTTGTCATAAACAATCCGGTAAATCGAAGCAAACATGGTGTACCTGATATTGTCGGTTCGCAAGCTTCGTTTAGTAATCTGAAAAGTACATATTTTTGTCGATCCATTCAAATATGTATCATATGTTTTGACCTGGTATTATTGTCGTCTCCACTTTCTTCAGCTCTCGTACGCTATCGGGATTGCAGAACCATTGGCTATTAATGTAAACAGTTATGGAACTGGAAAGATTAGCGATAAGAAATTATTGGATATTATTGTGAATAATTTCGATCTACGTCCTGGAGTAATAGTCAAGTAAGTAGTTTTCCATTCACAATCTCTTATTTTTCCTTGTCCCCGCAATAAAATATATGTCGGCTAATTTCTTCAATTTTTTTCAATTATAGAGACTTAGATCTCCGAACACCTCGTTATTTACAAACTGCTGTTTATGGCCACTTTGGTCGACCGGAATTCCCATGGGAACAATGTAAAAAGTTAACATTCTAACCTGTGAAAGATCAAGGCATCCGTTTTTTGTTGAAAATCCAATCATGAATATATTTATATATATAATAAATTGGAGACACAAATTCTGTTTGTTTACTACTTTACTTAATTTTGCATTTGCTAGTCACATCCTTTTCAATCACCTATTACTACTCCTCCACTCCACTCCACTCTTCTACTCTCTAAAGTGTTCTCTCATATTTATATATCGCATCATGGAACTGAATCGTTCATTAGTGTATTTAAAATAATCATTGTCATTCCTTGGTTATGTTTTACGATTTTTTTAAAGAAAAAATTAAAATTGTAGAAGTGATTGCTTCGCTGTGGTGACGGTGCTGGTACTGTGGTCGATTTGCTTTCAAGTGTAGTTTATCTATTCTGAGGTAAAAGGAAATAAGGAGTTATATAATGCATGTGTGTATCTGAAGTGCGAATTCTTTAACGAATGACCAAATTTACAACTTTCTATTGATATTGATAGTCCGATCGTAGCTGCCACTTTGACATGATAGTCACACTTGCCTGTCGTCGTAATCCCGTAGAGTTACATTATATTTTACTTAATACGATTGGCATGTAGTTTTATGTTATCTGAAATACCTGACGTTTTACTGTAACCACGGAAGGAGTATATCTTAGGAATTCTTAAGTTGTCTATATGGTAACAAGTCACTGCATGATGAGGTTTCTTGAAAGTTACTAAGATCCCAGATGTCTGGTTAAGTATTATGTGGATATGACTCAAAATTGCACTGTAAGAATAATAATAACCATTTCTTACTATCTTTACCGTCCAGTTAATCTATTAAACTTCTTTCATCATTTCCAGTTCTTTGTTGTCGGCATAGTCTATCCACTTTGTAATCATGCTCGTTCTAATATTTCCCTTGTGGATTGTCAGTTTGATTGTTAATGCTTCTGTTTTCACTCCATTTGTGTCTCGCCACCGTTTCTAATCACTTTATCCCCATAAACAAGTTTTCAGTCCGCGTTTATGAATTAGCTCACTCGTATTGTGCATCGTCAAGTGTTAATCCAAATAATTTCACGTACTACTGCCTTGGAGTTATTCAACTTCCAACATTTTCCTCATGAATAACGTAGTTTGCTTCTTAGTCGTGTTAATATCACAAAAGATGCACACGTTCATTGTGTGACACATGTTGCTAGTATTGCTTGTGTATGTGATAGCAGCTTATGTAAGTTTATAGCATTACATTTTCATGTCGAGGGCACATATCATGTCACCAAATGCTGTAGTACGGCCGAGAGTGGGGAGAGTTAGCTCCCTCTCCAAATGCTCCCAAGTGGCCACGTGAATGCAACCACTGATGGGGAAATCCTACTCACTGCCTTCTCGCGTTAGAAGTGTTGTTTACGAAATGCGAATGTCCGGTGCTTTAATTGGGTTGGTGGGTGCAGAGGATCCATCAAGGGGGGTTAGAAAACCCTGATTCCAAACCAATGGTGCATATGGGCTCCAGGATCTTGAGGAAACAAATGGTGTATGAACCAGTCGTTGGTGACCGGTTACCATGGGACTGCATCTGCTTACTTTGCTTGACTGCGTTGTGGATCAGAGATTTATGTTAAGGGCTCGGGGTATGACCCCCTAAAAAAATCACCTGCCTCGGTTTGGGCTTCAGAGCAGTATGCCAGCCCTCACATAAATTGAATGATTTATGTGGCGCATATCTATTTGTTGTCTACTTATACCAATGTTTATGTGTTTAAATAAATAAAGAACCTAAACTGGCTAAATGTCTATAGGTAAACAAGCAATAACCAATGGTTTGCAAAATTATTCTTAGCTTCATGTGATGTGATCACAATCATTTCTCCGTTACCCATTGATTACGTCATTAATAGCAAGTCATTTAGATTTCAAAATTTCTGGGAGACAATAAGGCATTATTATCTATAAACATTCTGAGTAGTGGCCAGTCTCATGCTTCTCTAGTCCGAAGTGCAAGTCAGGTTTTTAATCTTCGCTTTGCCCGCGTATCTAAATGACTTGGTACTACATGTTTATAACTTCTGTGGATACGTAAGTTGTGCTAACCAAGACAATAGCCGATGGGTGATAAATAAGTTATTAACAGCAGCAATCCTATCCTTGTGTTATGACCCTCCAACGTTGAAATATGTAACAAGTTAGAGACATACAAAATATATATATATTAAGAATGGTGATCTATGCTACATAAATCAATGTTAGCTGGGTGATTAACGGGATTTTGTCGGGCGGTCAGTTTGTTGAGTTCATAACACTTCGTAGGATTCTCAAATTAGAACGGAATATCTATTCAGTAACTCTTCGTTCCCGTTAGTTGTCTTACCAAATACAACTTGCTCTGTTAGTAATCTTCACACTAAATTTAATATACAGTTGAATGATTATTGGACAGTATCATGTTTGTTTAGTTCTTTGATGATAATCAAGTTTCAGTGTGATAACAAATTTGAGTGACTCCGCATTTCATGCACTATACTGAGGTGCTGGTTCTAGGTAGATGGCAGGAAGCAGTGTTCCACGTAGCTTTTGAAATATTTGGCACTCGTTAGCAACATGTAATTCAGGGGTGTAATGCTTCTTGACGGATTCAGTCCTGTGTCACCCAGATTCACAGTCAAATACGTTACTACTGAGCTATTCGGATCACAATTTGTTACCTGTAGGACTAGGGACAGTAGTTTCACATACTAGGACGAAACAGCTATTCAATTGTTCCAGGTTGTCAATGGTTTTCTAACCTATATTGGTTCGTGATCTTAATAATCTATCTTCATTAATGCCTGACAACATAGCAGTTAACATAGTCCATACTTCCTCTTAACTACTGCTGCTATCTATCAAAGGGGACGTAGTTGAGAAAGGCTACATATTGAGAAGACGGAGTGATTATTTATGTATGGGATAGTACTAGAACTCGAGATTTAACAAACAATCGTTACTAAGTTCTGAGCTACATTATCTAACGACTCTAACTACTGATCGCGCGAACCTCAACTAAGAAGTCTTCATTTATTAACATAGCTGTAGCCAACAGTCGATAATTTTATGACCTAATGCCTACATATATTATATACGCATCTCATATTTAGCTGAACACTGAATTTTGTGAATTCATTTAACAACTGAAAGTAGTTGATCCCTAATTTAGTTATCATAAACCACTACTTTAGTTAGTCAGCTACAACGTAGGATCAGGCACATGTATACATCGTTCCAAGTTGCCATACCTACACCATTAAGATCGATCCTGAGTCATGGCACTCAGAGTCCGCAACCAATGGTTACAATAGTCACGCGGACCCCAACCGAGTAGTCTGCATCTACGAACATGGCTCAGACCAGAACTGAGTGATTCCAATGACTGATGCCATGTTTTGTTTGAGCCGCCCCCTGACTTTATTCCAGCCATCACCCACACTAGTCAGTTAGCATTGCGAGTCGTGGTAATCGGTGTTCAGGCATACGCGACACGTGATTCTAGCAGATGTGAACTATATATGCTTTACTAGGAGTAGTATTACATTGATCACTAACTAACTAACTGAATGTATTAAACTTCAATAAACATTCTCAATACAGTTTACTTTAGAACACTACAATGAAGTCACAATTAATGATGATTATAACTGCATAATCATATGTAATATTATCAGTTGTTTTTTTCTTCCATTTAATTAAACTCCATTCTTATTGTGTATTTATAAACTTTGTAAGTTCAGAAAAAAATAATTCCATACTACATTCACTTCACGTGATACATTTACATTATGGTGTAATTCTTCAAAGAGATCTAGTTATTATTAGACAATGTTAACTTGAATATTTCAGTAAAATATTCAAGTTGACTAATGTTATTTAGGAAATAATATGGTAAAAGTATAGCTTAGAGATAAGTTTAAAACAATTGGGATGATGTTTTCATTCGTGAGGAAATTCATATCTCCCTCTCTAAATGCTATCAAGTGGCCACGATCATACCACCAACGCCAAGCAAGTCTCACTCACTGCATTCACGCGGCAGTACTGTTGTCTACGAAATTGAGAGGACGAAAGGCGAATGTTCGGGCTGGTAGATACGGAGGATCCACTTAAGGGAGTTGGAAAACCCCGATTCTAAACCAATAGTGTACATAGGTTTCAGTATACTAAGGAAACAAATCACGTATGAACTAATTATTGGTTACCGGCTAACATTGGACTGCATCTCCCTATAGATTAGATCTTTATGTGAAAGGTACGAAGTGTGACCATCTAAGCAAACCATCTGCTTCGGTCTGGGCACCCGACCAGTATCACAGCCCTCACACAAATCGCATATCTATTTGGTGTCTCCTTGTACCAATGTTTATGTGTTTAAATAAATAAATAATAAATAAATCTAAGCCAATCATGAGATGGTTAGTTAATGTGACAAAAAAACCCAATAATATATTGTACATTATATAATAATTTCAAATATTTTTTGAGTTCATAAATCGATTGATTTTCGGTCACCATTAAAAACCAGAAATCATTGGACGGCTTTTTCGTTCTGGTATGGAACTCAGTGTTTCCAGATTTTTCATGCTGGTCTAGCTTCAAGTGACTCACGATCTCAATTAATGGAATTACTGTAATATCCACAAAAATCTCTTCCGATACTAACTAACATACGCTCACTAGTGACTGGCTCCAAGAGATATTTCCTGGAGTTCTAGTGAGAAGCAGTGATTAGTGGGGTTCAACCGGGTGTGTTGTGGGATAGTAAGGCACTGAAGACAATGATGATAGACAGTGGCGCAATTTCGTGGATTGGTTGGAGTTAGACGTTAACACCGTTGAATACCAGCCGGCTCAGTGGTTTATAGTTTAAGAGATCACGATTAATACTGATAGATCCTGGGTTCGAATTTCGAGGGGAGTGATCGTAGATGAGCACTACTGAGGTGTCCTACAATAAGACAAAAGGACTGTTCAGTGCATCCAGATTTCCCATGGTGGTCTAACTTCAATTGACTCATGAATTCAACTATTAAATTTAGTTCATTATTAGGCAGAGAAATGAATTATGTGTAGACCGTATGACTAGTCTGTGTTTTGTTTACCTTGAGAAACCTATTGGACAATAATGAAGATGACATTGATAAAATTAAAAAGAATGTTTCATGAAGTATTTGGTTTTCTCTGTGTGTGTGTGTGATGTTTCAAGTTGATATTTGTTGACTGTTCAATCAAACAACTTTATTCTAAATGGTTTTGCGTTCTGAGACACACACACATGTATATGAAGTATATGAAACGCTTAATCTTG